TATATATATATATATTATTTTATTTTTCATCATTTTAATTATATGATAATTATTGATGTCAAAAATAAAATATGATATATTTCAAATATGTGATGTACGAAATTTCAAGAAGAAAATCCAAGACCATTTTGATTTTATACATAAAGTATTTTTAATGTCAAATTAATATATTTGATTATTATTTGATGTAGGGATTCTATTTTGTTTTGTAGCTATGATATTAAACATTTACACATGGTGTTAAGACATATACATGGACTTATGCTTAACATTAATTTCCTAGCAATTTCCTAAATATACTTTATTATAGAATGAGGTCTTGATTTTGAAAAATATATCTCAAATTTTTGGCCATCCCAATTTTAGAGAGAAGAAAATTATATTTTGTGTTCAAAGTTATTTTTCTAAAGTGTTAGAAATATACACAAAATATTATAAACAAATATTTATAAGATAAATATTTTACTATATATTTATTACTCCCAAAGTAGTATTATTATAGTTTTTACTATCCTATATTAAACTTGCTAGCACAAGTTTAATCTTGGACTCCGGAGCAAGTTCGTGTGGATACGTTGGAGGCTTCATACGTTTGGCGCTACGTTCATCTCCTCAAAACCATCCCCGACCGTTCCTCCGTTCTTCGTTTTCACCGTTAAGGTAAATTTCATACTATAGCTAGTAATTTACGTAAGTTGTTCTTGGGTGGAATCGAGTTTTGGACTATAAATTTTTGTTTTCCGCTGCGTTATCCAAGCCTCGTTTCCCAACATTTTCATCTTTCTACACGTAGGTATGAGAGAAATAAATGTGGAGCCTATTCTGGAGAATACTCAGATGGAGGTGATGCGTGGACATGAACAAATATACTATTTAAGTAAATGATTTTATCACATCTGTTGACAATAATGTTGTAGTTTACAAATTGCTTCCGCACTGTTTTAAATAATTTTACCCCGATGTAATTATGAAATATTTTGTGCAATTATTTGAAATAAAGTTTTTAAATGTTTGAAATTTTAACGTTACCAAGTTAATACTTTAGTTCGAAAGGGGCTATAGACCTGGACGGATTAGGGTGTTACAATTTGGTATCGGAGCAAATGATTTTAAAATCAATTTTCGGGCCATTTGACAAAATTATTTTCAAAATCGTACGTCCGCATCATCCACTTCATCTCAGCTCCATGAAGGTAATAAATTATTGTGTTGTATGAAAATATGTTATTTGTTTAGAAAAAAATATAGAAGATATTGTCATTGTTAGAAGTTAGAGATTACTAACCACAACAACAAAATGAATTGTGACATATTTTACAAATGAAAGTTGATTATACAAAAGTATATACTTGTTGATTTTGAAAATTGATACATTGAATTCTTGCAAAGAATTAAATAATTAAAAAAAATTGAAGTGTTTGTTTGCCAAATGTCATTATGAAATTTTCTACAAAAAACGTATTTCAAAAAGATTGTGTAAATTATTATTACACACTATGGATATTATTTTATATCTTGAAATATACAAGGGAATAAAATACTGATTTTTATGAACAAAAGACATTGAAAGTATTATATTGAGAAAAGAATTTTTCTCCAAAATTATGTGTTGGTTTGTTTGAAGATCTTTCCTCCAAAAATATATATAATGTATTTATTATGCAATTTTTAAAAGAAAAATCATTATGTGAAGATTTTCAAAACAATTGTGGCATAATAACTTGAAAAATATTTTATGAATGTTTTCATAAAAATGTGATGTTGATCTTTTGAAATGTGTTTGTTTAAAAAAATAACTATTTTGAGTCACTTAGTAGATATCTACAAATAAGTAATGCTGATCAATATTTTTAATATTGAAAGGATAATTGGGTCAAACAACCATCATGAGTCACTATTGTTATTTAAAAAATGGTATGTTGTAAGATGTTTTAAAAAAATTGTATGATGATGTTGTACCCGAGACCCCGGGGTCTTATCGAGTAATCAATTTGATGGCGGGTTTACGGAGGAAATGGATGCAAGAAGGAAGCAACTTTGAATTCCTAAGTTCAGAAACTAGTGATAGTCGATTATCATTAATTGATAATCGATTAACAAGATATGATTTCCAAACCACGAATGCTCAGAGATGCTCGATAGTCGATTATCACTTTTATGATAATCGATTGTTGGAAATGCCTGGGTAAAATATGGAGGTGATGAAGGAGTTTTTTTTGGTATTTTGATTTATGAAGATAGGATAGAATGTGGCTTAGGAAGAGAAAATGGAGAGGAACGAAATGGGTAGAAAACAAGGATGGATAAACCAAATAATGAATAAGAGATAAACACATTCTTGTTATATTTGGGGCTGTTATCTATTTCACACAATAATAATCACTACTAATGTATAAAATAGACTCCTAACACACACTCAAAAGTAGCCAACTTTAGATATATTTCATTAGGAAATTTGCTTAAAATAGCATCACACTATTTTAAGAGAATACTCAAAAGAGTAAACAAAGTTTTTCATTCAATACAATCTGATGTGTTTTACAATGGCTCATGGCCGAAATATATACAAGGGAAGGGAAGGGGAAATACAATCTAATGAAGATAAATACAACTAGGAAACTTCCTTCCATCTTCCTTACATTTTGAAATTATCACAAACATCCTAATTGAGCTGATTTTAAGGATAAAAGGAATGGATTTTGTTTGGAGTGTTGTGGTGTGATATCTCGGCCTTATGTGGGAAATAGCAAAGGAATGTTGTGTGACTGAAATTAGGACTAAAATGACTTGTTTTTATGTATGAAATTCGGCCCTATGGGATCAAGAAAAAGGAGACATGTTTGGCTTGACTTTAAGTGAATAATAGGACAAGAAGTTACTATTCAATCAAAGACTTGTTTGCTGATTTTGTCCTTTTGTTTTATTGTTGCTTTCTCATGATTTATGCCTGGATTTTAGGAAGAAAATGGGTGGGGATTTCGTTGGAAAGGTGTAGGAAAATAAGGGGAAGGTCTTATTTCATGAAAGGAACAAAAAAAAGTAGAAAACAACACACAAGGTTTGTCTTTTTGGTCCTCATTTTCATCCAAGGCTAAAAAGGAGGGAAAAGACTTTATTTTGATTATCAAATGAAGTTTAAAGGCTTTTGGATATTTTGGGAGAGTTTGGGGTTTTGGTGGAGCCATCCAGGGGTACATCATACTCCCCTTCTTCGAAGAAAGTTTGTCCTCAAACTTTCGCACCACCGTGATTGATTTGGGGTTTCATAAAAGAGTTCCCGGATCAAATGGGAAATTCAATGAACCACGAATATTGAGGTTCCTTTCGGAATTAGTGGGCACCTCATTGTGTAATTTCCGGAACATGATGCCATTCCTTGTAAGAACCTGCTTCAAACATACCTCAGAGATGAGATAAGATTTTCCTTCACCGAAAAGAGGATAATACTCTATGGAAATCACTTCCTTAGAAT